AGCGTCTTCTGATTTCCTGGCTACAGTCTGCATCTGCACTCATCTTTGTGCCTAGAAATACAAAGTCTGTCACTTTAATGGGGTATAAATAAAATAATAATAATAATTATTATTATTATTTGGATCCAAGCAGAAGAGAGTGGACTTCCCTGGATGTGGACACTCTCCTCCTCTGGATTCAGCCTAGAATCCCATGCTGCCCCCTGGTGTCCGAGCCCAATGGATGCTGCTTTCGTGGAACAGACTCCATGAGGAATAATCCCATTAATCTGAGCCTGTCTAAGGAACAGGTGGCGCCCGGGATCCCCGGCTAAATTGTATAAGCGGAGGATTTCCCACGGCGGCAGTCATGCAGGCAATTGAGCCACTCACTCCAACTGCGAGCAGATGCTCGGGCCCAGAGTCTCCCTCCAGGGAGATGGTTGAGGGCACCATCCCACTGGGAGGAAGGGTGCCTCGCTTGGGCCAGAAGGCCAATCCCCTGAGGAAGAAGCATGCCAGGATTGGGAAGGATAATAGAATTGCAAGATGAAATGGGGCTTCGGGAGGCATCATTGGTTGCATCTACACCAGAAGTGGCCAAACTGAGTTCCACAGAATCCAGGGTTCTGCAAAAGCATAATTTACTAACAGGAGCTACATACAGGAAATGCCTTGGGAGGAGATTGTTGTCAGATAAGTGAAGCCTTGGGTAGTGGTTCTACCGATACGGGATCTCAAAGTATCATTTAAACCCAATATGCTAAATCAGATAACGTTACTTATGTCACAGGATGGACCTTGCTCTCAGGGCTTTCTTGTGAGCTTCCCTAAAGCAAAGTGCAGGACGAAAGGCCACAAAACAGCTTGCCCACCTGATGTCGCCCTGTCCCCTTTCCCTCTTTCTCCTCATCGACAGGTTCAGCTGGTGGAGCTCTTGGTGGCCCATGGAGCCGACCTCAATGGGAAGTCAGTGCTGGATGAGACGCCCCTCGGTGAGTACTTCAACTATGGCCATTAGGCCATACAACCACACCGCTCCCAGATCCTCATTATTTTCTCTCTGCTCATTGACCCATTCTGGTTAGGAAAAAAATTGAGATTTCATTAGCGTGTCAGGGCAACCAGTCGATTGTGTTACATTTCTAACAGAACAAAACAAATAAACAGACAAAATACAAAATTTGCGAGTTTGGTAGTTGATTAAAT